GACACTTACATCGTCATCGCATCTCGTGTGCCACTGATAAGGCTGCCCCCTTAACGCACACCTAAAATTCGAATGCAACGTTTTTGCATTCGACGAATATTCGACGAATATTCGAAATTCAAATGACAATGACAGCAAATGACAATGAAATTCAAATGACAGCCCTAAAACATACACAAGCTTAATGAAAAAATAGTAACTACTGTAGATAAAAACTGCATTATAAAAGTATTCTTAACACATTTTATGAGAGGGATATTTGATTGGATGAGGCGCAGATGCAAAATACACACACAAATATTAAGTAAATATGTTGCTTGGTAACCATAAACTACAGTTTATGTAACGTAGCATAATGTAACAAATTATCAGTTGTGTGTGTCATTTAGTTTCATTGTAATGGATTGTAATTTGTATTCTCCTTTGTTCAGTTTTCCCGCCACTCTTTAGTTGTCATGGTTACAGATATGATAAGTTATTTCAGTTCAGCTGTGTATCATTATTTAACCTTGTTTGTAGTAGTACTTAAGTTCCTGTGTTTTCAGCGTTTGGTTGTCTGGACACGTCGGAGTATGTTGCTTTTGCTTGCTGCCTTCTGTCAATTTACCTTGTGGATTAATATTAAAGACTGAGTTTATACTTTATCTTCATCGTCGTGTGCAAGTCTACGTGACACATATAATATGGGAAATTGTTTATTCCAATGTTAACGTCCCTTGTGAAAATTAGTACACTTTAACATACTGTAAAATGTACTTATTATGGAAATGATATACTTTAAAAGAATGTACCTATGTGTGAACTGCATGAAATTCTTTCGGACACTTAATTCGATGTTAATTGCAATTAAATGAAAATGTAATATAGTTTAAATTCATATTAAATGCAATAAACTGAACTTTAGAGTGCTTTTAAAAATGCAATTTCATAAGTACTTCTCTTGTCTATTGAAATATGGTTAAAGTGAAGTGCTCAATGTACTGACAAGCATTTATGGTAAACTAAAATATACTTTAATGTCATTCTATTGAAACCTGTATGTCGTGTGTTTAAATATATTTCTAATTATTAGTATCTGTAATAATAAATATGTTGCAATTTAGTACATACTAAAATAATAAAATATCAACTTTAAATGTAATTTGAATAACACTACATGTGATTAGTGTTTTAGTCAACACATCAAAATAAGTGTACTTCTTAAAAGTGCAATTAAAGATTATTGAAATGAATATTGAATGATTTCATTTGACATTGTTACAAAATACAAAAGTGTGTTGAGTAACATAGTCATGAAAGTGTACTCTCTTTAAGAACACTTAAGCAGCCTCTTATTTCATTAATAAATAATAAATAAAAAAAAGTCTTTAATTTTTTTTACTCACCATCATTTTGTTTCAAACCTGTATGACTTGCTTTCTTCTGTAGAGCACAAAAGAATATAGTTTGAGAAAAGTCTCAGTGTTTTTTTGCCCGTACAATTAAACTTTTTCATTGTTGTTTTGGACCCCATTGTCTTTCACTGTATGGAAAAAAAAAAGATTGATACATTTTTCAAAATATCTTGTGTTCCATAGATAAAGAAAGTCATACAGGTTTGGAATGACATGATGGCGAGCAAATTCTAACAGAACTATCCCTTTAATACATGCATTTTTTTTTTACATTGGCATCTTTTTCAAGCCACTTGAGGCTATTCCGCTTTGTGTGCTCACCACTAATATAAACATGAATATGTAAGTATTATAATATATCATAACTGTGGTTAGAGTTATTATTAAATAACAGATAATAATGCATATAAAGCATGTTGCCGGTTGTGACCCTGCTGTCTGTGTCGTACCCATGGCAGTGAAAAGATCACGCAGATGTTGAAACTGGGTCTGATCAGCCTTGTTTGCCTCCAGCTGCCCCACACGGGCCTCCAGACTCTCGTGCCTGTCTCTCAGCCTGCCCACCTCCATCAGAGCCTCTACGGTCTCCGGGTAGCGCTCGGCCCAAATGCTGACCCGGGACAGTCGGCGGTCCGTCACAGTGCACAGAGCCCCGTCAGACAGTGACTGCTGGGGAGGAGAAACCCGACGAGAGAGATCTACACCAGTTGTGCCACCAGTACCCGCTCTGTCGTCTTTGAACGGGGTACCCAGGTTCAAAGGGTGAACGGGTGCAATGTTTTCAGCGGCGGAGAGGGTGTCCTGCAACCCCTGGGAATTTAAGAGGGAATGTCATTTACACAGAACATTTCATGAATGCGAATCAGCATGTCCTTTAGCGTATATTGTGCTTTGCATTAAACACCGAGACGAATGTCTTGGTTTTTGGCCTCGGTTTGTGTTTGTAGATGTTGGTTATGAATTTACATTTAGCAAATCATTCATTCTGGTCAATGTTTGCCTCAACTGCAGCTGCCGCCTGCTCTAACCAAACAACGACTGTGACAAGAACCTGTGAGATTTAGGATGACTGTGAAAGGTTATTGGCTTCGGACACACTAAATTGACTTCTTGCTGTGTATGGAGTGATTACAGCTGGACGTGCCTCCTGAATCTTCTGCCTCTCGCTGATGAGCGCAGCTTGCATCACTTCCCATGTGACACACTGCGTGAGCTCCTCTGGAACAGGGTACTGGGCCATCTTGTCCTTCAGCTCTTTCTGAGAGAGAAAAATACATTAAAATCTGGTGCATTCTAAATAAACATGATATGGTCATTATCAGATGAGACAGGAAAGACCTTCTTATTGTCATTCATGTCATTCAGACCCAAAAACTATAATGAAAACTATATGTTTGTGAAAACCTGTGCTCCTGAAATAATGGAGTACACTGTTACAAAATGAATGTGCAGCATATTAGTATGACTTCTGAAGGATCATGTGACACTGAAGACTGGAGTAATCATGCTGAAAATTGTCCTCTACTCTACTTTTACTCTATTTTTAATTAAATAAATGCAGCCGTGGTGAACATAAGAGGCTTCTTTCAAAAACATTACAAAATCTTACCCCAAACTTTTGAACAGTAGTGTAATTTAGTTCAAGTAAACTTGTACATGTGTGTCATTTTGTGCAGAAGTTATATTTTATAATATAATATTTTATGTTGTGTATGTATCTGAGTGATTTCATATGTATAGGATGTGTTTGGGTGAGTTAACCCAATTAACCCGCTAGCAAAGCGCCTCAGTTTACCAGTGTTTGTTCATTGTTTAGCTTCAGCTCAGTACATATTTGGTGCATTGCAATTGTTTACAACATGCACAGGAACTGATTGCATTTGGTGTTACTGGCCTAAAAAAACTATAAAGGTGACTCATACTGCTTGAAAAAAACAGCATATGCTGGTTAGGTATATTTTGATGCTGGGATGCTGGTTTATGCTGGTCCTTTGCTGGTTTATGCTGGTCCTTTTGCTGGTCCATGCTGGTCCTTTGCTGGTTTATGCTGGTCCTTTTGCTGGTTTATGCTGGTCCTTTTGCTGGTTTATGCTGGTCCTTTGCCAGCACATGACCAGCATAAACCAGCAAAAGGACCAGCTTAAACGAAGCAAAAGGACCAGCATAAACCAGCAAAGGACCAGCTTAAACCAGCAAAGGACCAGTTTAAACCAGCAAAGGACCAGCATAAACCAGCAAAGGACCAGCTTAAACCAGCATCCCAGCGTCAAAACATACTTAACCAGCATATGCTGTTTTTTTCAACAGGGTGGAACAACATGAGGGTGAGTAAATAGCTACATTTTTGGTAAACCAGCATCCCAGCGTCAAAACATACCTAACCAGCATATGCTGTTTTTTTCAACAGGGTGGAACAACATGAGGGTGAGTAAATAGCTAAATTTTTGGTTGAACTAGTCCTTTAACAGCAATACTTACTGTAGTGTTGTCCAGATCTTCCACTTGGTGGCAATAATGCTCCATAGCAATGATACGGTCCACCAACTCTTTCATGTTCAGCTGAAGATGACAACGTTATCGAGTCACACAACTGCTGGATATATATTAGGAAAAATGTTTGGTAGGTGATATTGCCGTGTGTATGCAGTCACCTGGCTGAGCTGACCGTTCAGAGCATTAACTTCCTGTCTCAGATCGTCTCTGGACTCTTTGAGCTCCTGGATTTCCTTCAGCAGGTCTTGGATTAAGGCCATACACTGAGGAAGAAAACAGGATTTGAAATAACTTCAGTGTTTGAAGATTTAGTGGGTTTCATTTCATACCCCTCCTACTGGGCAACAGTAACTGGGAAATCAACACGCTCTTTAGAGAAAAAGCCCATAATCCCTTTTGCCTGGACTTTGAGGAGGGCTAAAACTCTGGAAGAGCACTGCTGAATCAGTCTTTTTCTTTGAAAGGTACATAATATACTCTTTGTGAGAGCACAGAGAACTTCTGACCTTTAACCCCAACAGAGGTTACCATGACAGCACAAAGGTCTTGGGAATCACTCTTGAATCAAACAGGATGTGGCATCGCTGTCCACCCACTTTCTGATATGTTTGCGTAACCCCTGATGTCTACCCTCTGTTACTCTTAGTGCTGTTTGTCTCCCTGTGAGGCTCCGTTAGATGAACAAATGTATCTTGGGTTTCTCTTATTAGACTGAAGGGGCGGCTAGTAAGAGGGAAATAGAGGTGAAGATGACAAACATATGAAATAGTTGATGACACTGACTTGCCAGTCTTGCTGTTACTGAATGTCCACACACACACACACACACACACACACACACACAGACACAGTGTTGTGGATACCTGTGGAAACATCCATAAAAATCTTCCTTGTTAATGAATATACAACACTAGCAAAAAAGTAGGGTTGCCCCTGACTAGAAGTTTATATTAATCGAATTACTTAAATATATATACAGTGGGTACGGAAAGTATTCAGACCCACTGTATATATATATATATATATATATTAGTGCTGTCAAGTGCTAGTGATTAATCGCATCCAAAATAAAAGTTTGTGTTTACATAATATGTGTGTACTGTTTATTTATATTCAAATATAAACATATAAATACAAACACATACATGTATATATTTGATATACATGAATATATATTTATATATAATATAAATTATATATATACTGTATATATATATATATATACACACACACACACACATGTAAATATTTCTTAAATATGCACGTGTGTGTATTTATATATTTATATATCGATTTGACAGCACTAATAAATCTTATCTTGTCTTATCTCAAAAAAAGAGATATTTGTATTATTTATTAATAAACTAGTGTTTTCTGAGACAGTGTCGACTGCAAAGATGAAGTCGACGGTGCTGACTCACCATCTCCACAGTACAGTGACGCGTCTTTAGAGAGAAATGCACCTTTAATATGGATTGCATAAACAGAGTATTTGTTTTCAGTTTGAAAAGTAGACATTTCAAGCTATCTACAGATATATTTCTCATATCTGTGAAGGAAGTAGCCTATATGCTGAGTTTCAGTCATTTTTGTGACACACTCCAGTTCACGGAGGCCGAGACAGCAAAAAGCACATCCTGTTTCTTTTCTTTATTTTACCAAAGCACAACATTTTGTTGATATTGTGAGTGTATACAAATAAAAGTAGACCCTTGACAGTTTCGAATGATTAAAAGGAAAAAATGTCAGTGCCTCCATGTCATGCAGTAGTGTTCTAAGAGCTTCCACACTCCACAAAAACACTTTGGTATGCGCCTAACAGCGCACATTTATCTAAGGCCCTGTTTACACTAGTGCATTTTCGTTTTAAAATGTTTTTTTTTTTTAATGAAAATGATCCTCATCTACACTTGCGTTTTCACTGCGTTTCAGAAACAATCTCCGTCCACACTTCACAACCGAAAGCGCATTTCACATGACCATTCATGCACACTGGGCATGAGCGTAAAAGTGTAAACAGGAAGTTGGTTGATAGTCGCTGGCAGGTACAACAATGAGCATGGTGGCGAGAAAAAGCAAGGACGTCTTTATTGCTGATTGCTCTAAGCACAGCTTGCCTCTTGAGCATGAAGGCAGCTGCTGTTTTATAAAATACTGAATTTAGCTGCACAATGGCTGCTAAAAATTACAACAAAGCCAGGAAAGTCTGCAGTTCAGTCTCCATGTTATTGTTTACACGGTAGCCAAGGATATGCAGAGCGAATGTGGGCAGCCACGCCATCGTTTTCAAAAGTCAGTTTACACTGAAACACAACCCCGGAGTTCCCTTTCGAGCGGTCTCTCGACATTGCGGAGCATCCGCTTTGGGAACTCCTCTCCTTCCACACTTCCTGAAGTCCTATTGGCTCACGCCAGTCCAATTGGCTGGCCAATTGTCGTGAAGTATGCAAATCGAATGCAAATACTGACAAGCTCGAGAGGCAGTATAAATTGCGGTGCACGTGACAATTACATCAGATTCTTCTCTTTCACTTTTGGCTTACGCATCTTGAACGAAGATGACATCCTACTGCAGTATCTGCACGAGACCCATTGACCCGCCAGAAAAATCGATCACTGCGTCGTCTGCTTGGGCTTGGCCCATGCTGAGGCGGCGTTGGACGAGTCCGACTGCGTGCATTGCGCGGACATGCCAGCGCGCGTGCTCAGGACTCATTGGAATATGGCTCGTGGTCTTTTCGGGGTTAGGCCCACTGCCGCCAGCAAGCCGCTGGTGGGCCCCCCTCCCCCACCCGGAGGTGAGAGCGATGACTCTCCCTCCGCGATCACCTCGATCACCAGTCTCCTTTTCGGATGTCTGTCTCCTCCGCCCAGCTCAGAGGAGGGAGGAAAGGCCTGCCGCGGCTGCAGCAGACCCTCGGCGGGAGCCGGATGTTAGGAGGAAAGTGTGGCCGGGACCCGGGAAGAGACGCCACGGGCAGCAGAGGAGCCCTCACCATGACTCTGGGCCCCCTCGGTCTCCAAGCCGTCTTCCTGAGGGTGTCGTGAGGAGGGAGGAGCACGCTGGAAGCCCAGTTCCCAAGCACCGCAGATTGCCGCCCCAAGTTCAAGTGTGCGGTGTTCAAAATGTTCTTTTATGTGTGTACGAGTCAATAAAAATGCACACGTTTTCCTCCTCACCTCCATTCCTCCTTTCCTCCTCAGAGCAGTGCAGAGCCGCCGCCCGACTGGTTTGCGTCCATGGACTTGAAGGACGCGTACTTTCACTTTCAGATAGCCCTGCATCACAGACGCTTTCTGAGGTTTGCCTTCAAGGGCACAGCGTACCAATACTCTGTTCTTCCATTCGGCCTAGCATTAGCCCTGCGCACTTCCTCAAAGTGCATGGATGCAGCACTTTCCCTCCTCAGAGCGAGCGGGATGCGCATTCTCAACTATCTGGACGATTGGCTGATTTTAGCTCATTCACGGGACATGCTAGTCAGCCATATAGACATGCTGCTAATAATATGCATAAGAGCATTCTCACCCCGAGTCAGTCTATAACTTATCTGGGAGTGTGTTTCAACTCAGTGGAGATGCGAGCTCGCCTCTGTCAAGAGCGCATGGCGGCCATTTTTTCTACTCTGCGACATTTCAGACTGGGCAGGTCCGTTCGCTTGAAAGAATTTCAGAGGCTGCTGGGACTCATAGCGTCTGCCTCAGCAGTGTCCCATCTGGGTTTACTACACATGCGCCCACTGCAGTTATGGCAGAAAACCCAGGTCCCGTGGAGAGCGTGGACCTCGGGTCACTTGTGCATTGCGGTCACCCACGGCTGCATCAAAGCTCTAAAGCCATGGCGCAACCCGGATTTGTTCAGCCCCCCAATGCTATTGTTGTTGCTGTATCGGCCCTGTATTCAGTGCTGGATCTTATTATTTCATGCCAGATATGCAAATTTAGTATACCTGGGTTTTGGACGTTCATTGGCTTATCTCCGCCTATCAGATGAGAGTTTGTATGTCAAACGTCGTTATTGGTTGGGAATTGTGGGTGTGTTCTATCCCTGCTTGGTGTATACCTTTCTGTGGGCTGATCATAGCTGCTCTCACGGCGGGATTGAATAACGTTCCCAAAGTGGATGCTCCACAATGTCGAGAGACAGCTCGAAAGGGAGCACTCTCCAGTTACTGTCGTAATCTCGTCCCCTGAGAGCAGGAACGAGACATTGCGGAGATCGCCGTGATCGCTGCTCGATCAGCAGGGCAGCATTCAGGATCAGATTCTGATGTAATTGTCGCGTGCACTGCATTTTATACTGCCTCTCGAGCTCGTCAGTATTTGCATGCGATTTGCATACTTCGCAACAATTGGCCAGTCAATTGGACTGGCGTGAGCCAATTGATATTTTTCAGTCACGTGATCGCCTCAAAGACCTAGCGGGCAAAACATCCATAGAACTGCAGCACAAGCTTGTTGATTTTCTATCTGTTCCAATCCAAATATATTTAGATCATCTCTCAAAGAATAAAACAAAGATATGTGAACAAAATGCAAGTTTTGGCCATTAGCAATCCATATAAATCACCCACCGCAACATTTCAATCATTAAAAAGACATTCTAAAACGTTTAATGTGAAAACACTTAAAGTGCCTTTAGAACGGTGATATTAAAAGATCAAATTCAGTACACACCTTATTGATGATGCATGCTTTATACAGGCAAGCAGATGAGCTCAGAATATGAACGCAATGCGCTAAATGGTTAAGCGTCTTCTTTATAATGGTTTTCTATGGGAAAACATTTAATATTAAACATTGTGCATTGCGTTTATATGCTGGGTTCATCTGCTTGCCTGTACAAAGTATGAACGCGGTCTGCAGTGTTTTTGAAAGTCTCTGTTTTCGAGGGCCGAAAACACCGGAGAAGTATAAGCAACCGCCGTCACCATAGCAAAAGTTATGCGTTTTAAAATGAAAACACACTAGTGTAAACATAGCCTATGTTAACGTTAGAGTGAGCAACCATTAAAAGTTGCTACTACTTACATGTTTCACTTTCAAATGATAAGCCATATTTGAGATGGATGAATGATAGATGAATAGATTTTCTGCCTGATATACTGTAATTACCTCAAGGACCAGTCGTTAATGATCTGTCCATCATGGACACGGACAGTTTTTTTCCTGCGACTAACCAAGTAATAAAATATAAATTTAATAAGCCTCTTCTCGTCAACTAACATTTAGTCGACTATTAGTGGAGCAGCCCTACAAAAAA